CTCCAGTTCCTCACAGGGACACTTAGAGACAAATGAAACACTGGAAACCAGAGTACCCAGAGACAACCCATGCATGCACAGAGAGATGTTGGATGCTGTCTATCATGGTGCGCTAAGATTCATAACTGGCTGTAACTACCGTACCCACCATTGCACCCTGTATTCACTGGTTAACTGGACATCATTAACTTCACTCAGATTATCTCACTGGTACATTTTCATCTTTAAATCACTTCTTGGTCTGTTGCCTTCATACATCTCCTCCTACATGTTACTGCGTGAGTGCAGCTACAGCGTGCGCTCTCAGGACATTATTACCTGCAGTATCTCCTCAGTGCGGACTGAACTAGGCAAAAGGGCCTTCTCCTACTCTGCTCCTGTTTCCTGGAATATCTTGCAAAAAGATCTGAAGCTGTCGACCTTGACCTCTCTAAGTAGCTTCAAACATCATAAGTTCCTGGGAAAAACCAATGCAGACGTTCCTGTTTTTAGTTTTATTCATCGCCTTACAACCTAGCTATTTTTGTTTTATTTATTTTTTAATACCATTTTCTTTCACTTGTTCTTCTCTATTTGTATGCTTTCTTTTACGGTTGTCTACTGTTGTCTTTGTTGACTACTGTTGTCATCGCTCTTTGTCAAAATCAGGTCTCTCTTGTAAATGAGTCCCCGAGGTTCAATGGGATTAACCTGTCTAAATAAAGGTTGAATGAAAACTCCACCCAGAGAGGTCTCGGCCAGGATTCAATCTGGCGACCTCCTTGCTGAAAGGCAAGAGCTCTAATGTTTCGGACGTAGACAATGTGACAAAAAGGTCAAATATTAGTCGTGCCAAAGATTTAAATCTTATAACTTTTTAACATTGGTCTGTGTGTGTGGAATAGGTAGGTTGTCATCCTTCTAGTAGTGATTTCAGTGAGCTTTCGTTGAAAAATGGTTGTTGTTTTCTTTTTTTGGTGAAAGGTTTTTAACTGAGGAAGGGCTTGACATTGTGTTGTCAGCCATCTACGTCATCAAACTGCATGCTGGGTATTCAGTAGTGCTGAAACCCCTACAAGCACAGGGTCATCGGATGCAGCGGCAGGGGTTTTGTGCATCAGTGCACAAACCGATACTTCACGGTTTGTGACAGGAACGTCAGAGTTATTGTGTGGCGTTCACAGAATAAACACAGCTTCAAGATCCCTATTGCATATTGACTCGAGCTTGGTGGATTACTGAAATAGAAGCCATTACCACAAGCATCGTGCGCTGGTGTAAATGCTTTGGCTTCTCCCCATGTCTTCGTTAAGGCACAACACGGTGGTATTTGGAGAAACTGAAGTGTTTTTAAAATGATGTAATTTTGAAGCAGTATTTGCAGCAGTTGTAAAACTTCAGCAAAATGTGATTTATATATATTTTTGTTAATAAATGCAGTAGAAACTTGAAAAGAAGTGTAAAAAATCAGTTTCCCATCACCTCAAGAAGAATAAAAATAGATGTGAACACTGTGGCAGCAACTGAAAATAAGAGTGTCATCATAACTAAAATGTGCTGCAGTGCATTTTGTATCAAAATAATGAAAACTACCTGGTTGTGTTCCAGTTTTATTATTTGGCACCAAACGACAATGCCAGCAACAGAAAAGATGTATTGATTAAAGTCATCCATGACTTATTGAATTAGGTGTCAGAATCACACACATTAAGTTAATAATACGCTAATTTAAACACCGTTTTAGAAATTTTAAACTGTATTTTTTTGTTCATGAAAATATCTGAGCATTAGTATATTAGGTTTGCTGTAAATACAGCTCAGGATGAATGAATAAAACAGTAAAATAATATAACTTAATAAATTAGGAGTTTAACAACGGATTTATTGATTTAATTATTTATGGAAGGAAATTACTCGTCACACCCTAAGCAACTAGAGACAATAAATAAACAATAAAATAAAGTGAAAGCAATTCTTTTTTTGAGGGTAAAGGACAGGAAGATTACACAAATGAGGAGCTGCTCATTAGAAACACCAAGCATCTCCTGCAGGTCTCATCTGATTATCAATGAGTTATTTTTAGCAGCTGGTGTTTGTGCAATTAGCAAAAGATTAAGGCCATTGTTTAATGAAGAAAATACTGACACCATAACAGACGGTGTGACATACGAGTCAGAAGCTGTTAGTCATTGCATGTGGATACAGTGAAGCTACAAACAGCACTTAAATGATTTGACGTAAGGAAGACAAAAGCATAAGACGTTAAAATAAAATCATCAATATTTAAATATAAATATATTGTTGTTTAAAGGGCTATACAATTACAAATAACTGGCAGTAAAATTACATTTTTAATTGAAAATGACACATGCTTTAATCAGGATGTGTGTCCAGGTCTATCCAGATTCCAGAATCAGAATCATCATGTCTTTTGTTTTTAGGGTCTTTAGTGCGAAATTATTTTTTTTATTGAGCACTGCTCTAACAGTCTCTACCTCATTCCTGCTCACATACTCAATGTCCTCAGAGGTAGAGATGTCTGTAAATGTAATGGTGGCACTGGGCACCAGTGTGATGATGAGCAGTCGTTAGTTCACAGAGAGCAGGGGACAGGGTTTCTATCACGCAGCCCCGTGGGGGGAGTTGGTGCTGAGAAGTGGTGGAGGAGATGAAAGGGCAGATTTTATCTCTTTGTGGGCGCTCGAAGAGGAATTCTTTAATTCAGGTAGAGAAGGATAAACCCAGGTCCAGCAGTTTATTGTCTGAGATGTCTAGTGTGATAGTGAACGTTGAAGCTCGACTCGCTCATGAGGTTTTCTTCCTCCTTTTCTAAATCAATGGTTCTCAAACTTATTGGAAGAAAAAACATTTCCAGGCCCTGCTTTGACTCATTAAGATTAAAATGAAGTGAAAATTATCTTTATTTGTAACTGAGGGTGGAGTGTTGTTTTAATAATAATAATAATAATAAACCCTCTAGATTTACAAAATTATTTCAAATTTACACTTAGTCATTTTGTCAAAAAAGTATGACTTTATTTTTGTGACATTTAGTCTCTAGATTGCTATTTGGAACTTAAAAAAAAAAATATTCAGAAGAATAACTGTTCATTCGCTGTACACCTCGTGTCAAATTCAAGGCCCGAGGGCCAAATCTGGCCCTTGTTAACACCTTACCTGGCCCTCAAGGTACGACGGAGCTTTAGGGCCACGCTAAGAAAAATAAAAATTAAAGACATAAAATTACGAAAATAAAGTTGTAGTATTATGAGAATAAAGTCAAATAAAGTTTTAATATTACCAGAATAAAGTTGTATGAGACTTTTTTTTTAGCTCTCGTGTTTTTTTCTTCTTCCACGAGTCGGATCCACGACGCGACCTGTCAATCAATCCAGTAGGCATGTCAGCAAACGACCAATCCGAATCTAAATGAGTCATAATGTTATCCAAACTCCAACACATAAAACAGGGTTTACTGCATTTTAACAGTGGTACAATGAAGAATTGAGCATCTTGTTAAGTTATACTTTGGTGTTGGTTTTACAAATAAGGAGATATTTAATCTGTTAGCACATCAGCATCAGATTATCAGGGTTTTGAACCTGCTTACAGTAAGGTGGTATGCTCTGATGGGCTGCAGCGCAGGTAAGGAGCATTGGTCATTTGCTGACACGCCTACTGGATTGATTGACAGGTCGTGTCATGGATCCCACTCGTGGAAAAAATAAATAAATAAACGAAAGCTGTAAAAAAAAAGTCTCCTATTACTTTATTCTCATAATACTAAGACTTTATTCTACATTATTCTTGTAACACTACAACTTTATTTTTGTAATTTTATGCCTTTAAAAAAAATTTTTCTATGTAAATTTTTTTTCTTAGCGTGGCCCTAAAGCTCCATCGTGCCACCATATCAAGATGATATTTTAAACGTAAAACATGTTTTATTCTCTCTCGTTTTACTTACAAACCCAGATCAATTTATTTAGTGCAGAGTATCGTGGCAGTCGGTCAGCTTTAATCTTTGATTTTGATGTTGAAGGAGCAACAAAGAAAAAATGTTCTTGATCTCACTTGAGGGAACACATTCATTGAAAATAGCTCTTTGAACCAAGTTTTTAATTAAGGCTCCCTTTTGTAATCGAGTTTGACACCACTGTCCAATTTGTCCATTGCAAGAACAAGTAAGAGTAAAAATATCTAAAAATTAATTCCACTTGCCGTGTTTAGGCCCCAACATTAAAATAAAAACAGAAGTGGTGATGTTACGACTCCCCAGAGGTCAGGCCCCACAGTTTTGGAACAGATGCTCTAAACTAAGATCGCGCTGACTGCTATCCATTGCAGGTAAGATACTGACTGTGTTGTGCTCCCTTATCCAGAGAAGTACACCGGCCCATGTCTGAAAGACAGGTTTTAAATAAAGAAGGACACATTTGTGTAATTTAGACCCAAAATATGTCTTCTTATGAACAAACCTAACAGCATTCAGAGGCAGCTCTAAAGATCCAGAGACACGTGGATGATGCTATCAGTGTTTCTAGCACTTCATGCCGCAGTTGCCCAAACATGGTTAAATCTTTTGACAGTAGCTTTACCCAGACAAAATGTCCTTCCGTTTGCCTACAGGCTGTTGAGCTTGTCTGCTTGTGTTGAGTGTGTTTATCTCCGTGTGTGGGTGTGAAGATGAGCTGAGCTGATATGGAGTCCTGTTTGTGCCACGATTCAGAAAAAATATATTTTTCTTTCAGATTTGTATGAACATCCTCCCATTTTTCCAGCATCTTGGGTGAAGCTGGAGTCAGCGAGCTCTGCGGTGCTTCCAGGAGGGCAAGCACGTACTTAAGATGGATACTGATGTTTTCTTTCATTTTTTTGAATCTCATTTCCTGTGGTCGTTTTCTAAAAATCCACCTCTCCCCTGTATTCTTGGCGCTGTGATTTTCTGTGTGCTGCATCACTGGTGAAGCCACGTGCTCTGTGTTTATCATCAGGAGGGGGAGGGAGAGAGTGACGGAGAGATTTTTCCCTCTCCCTTTGTCCAGTGCAACGACAGACACACACACCCTCTCATCCAGTTTGTAGCAGGCGTAGAGAGACAAGGACAAAAACACCCCCTCCACACGACACCGTGTAGACCACAGAAACGCCAAGCTACACCACAGGTACGGTTATAATTGATTTTGTTTATCATATTTGTGTAATATGCATGCAATGGTGTGAATCAATCATCCTGAAGGCTGAACCGTGCTTGCTATTCAGCATCCATAATGATAATATTTCATCTTTAACCTTGATATAGCCAAGGCAGAGAGACATAACGCCCACCGTGAGCTGTATATGTGCTGTGCTGAGGAGCTACAGGACGAGGAGGAGGTGGAGGATGTTAAAATGCAGACAGCATTTTTGGCACAGAGTCTGTGAATACTGTTGCTGAGGCTTTCTTTGTATTGTACACTTTTGTTTACACACACCCCCGCTGGCAGCAGTTGCATCTGTGTGAACAGAATGTCGACAGGTTGAAAATGTTGACCCTGCAGGGGAGAATAATGCACCATTTAAAGGTTTGTTTTTTTGACCTTAAAGCCCATATATATCACATCCTGAAGCTGCTTACGTCAATGAGGCGGGAGCGGTGGCTGCTGGAGGAAAAAAAAAGATTTGGTTGAAGCAGGCTGAGGTGTCTGAGTGATGACTCTATGGTAGGTGGGAGTCATAAAAGTTGATTGAATTTGGTGCAGGCTTGTGTTGGTGGTGCCACATTTCTGCCTGCATTAGGCTGAACACTCCCAGAAACACCTGACAGATTTTGAGACAACAATGCAGAAGGGCTTAAAGGGCTCTTCAATTAAAATTCAGTAAAGTGCACCTAAAAAACAAGAGGTAGAAATAGGTCCAGAATATATATTTAAACTCTCTTTTAGTGATAGCCATAGTTTAATCATTCATAAATTTGTTTATTTCAGGTCTGAAGAGCAGACAGAAATCATAAGCCAGACTTGAAAATTACTGTGAATGCTAGAAAAGCACCAACGCCTAAAGCAAATGACAGGAAGGGGAAAAAAAAGAAATAAATAACTATTTATTCCAAATGGGTGGTTATACGTCACTTCAAGACCAGAGGCTTTTGTTGCTTGAGGGTTCTGGGCTTTATCTTGGTTGAACCTTGGACTGTGCTCTTCTGGATAGAAAGCTTCATTTGGGTCTGGATCTGGAGCTGGACTGCAGTCCATCATTTTGGAACAATTACATTCATTGCAACATCATGAAGACTGGACAAAAAATATATAAATTAAGAAACATGATCGCATTTTAAAATAAATCTATGGTTAAACTGGTTAAACTGAAAATTTATCTGCTAACGTAACCAGATGCCAATTGTCAAGGGTGTTTGTTTAGCTATGGAAACAGCCAAAGCTAAAGAAAATAGGTGAAATGTAAGACAGACAGCTCTAGCAGAGGTTTTGCAACTCTGTATATGTGATGCTCAACAGCCCTACTTGATCCGTAACATTTATCCTTAACAGTACCGTATTTTTCAGACTATAAGGCGCACCAGCTTATAAGGCGCATCAAGCGAAACAAAACAGTCAGATTATTCAACTCATTCACAAAAACCACATAAAATTGGTTTGAGGTCAGTAAGCACAACCAGGATTAATACATAAATTGCACCGGATTATAAGGCTCACTGTCGATTTTTGAGAAAATTAAAGGATTTTAAGTGCGCCTTATAGTCTGAAAAATATGGTATTTTCAGTCGTTCTTTCTCTTTTATTTGGTGTTCAGCCGCTGATTTGCTGAAACATTTCCACCCAAATATCTTCTCAGAGATCCTACACTTGTCTGATTCAGACATATTTATTTACCGACACAGACCATGGCCAACCTGACGTTGGTCAGTCAGGTGACTCAAGCGTCAGCAAAATAAATAGCTTTGTTTCAAATTGTGTTCAGTGTGTTTGGAAAACAGCTGGAGTCAACCCTTCAAATTGCATCATTTTATACGGTTCAGGAACACTTTTTAAAATATATGTTAAGTATATATTTTGCTACGAGTGCCTTTAGCCTAGAAAATATTTTATTGTTGTTGTAAATGTTGTTGTTTAATTGACAGTATTTCTTCATACATGAAACATCCAGTGCAGTCAAACCCGTTTCCCTCTTGGAAGCTTCTTCATTATCAACTTTGGGTCTAGTAATAGTTTAATTTTGTAATTTAATCAAATTTCTGCAATGAACAATACACTTCTGCTTTTGTTTCCACACAGCACGCCACAGTTCTAACTTGTATCAGCCCTTTGGCTAATCCGTAATTGGAATGAAAATTTTGCCTTTAGCGATAAACCACCAGAAGACTCTGTTAGTATCAAGTCGATTATCATTTTGACAGAGTCTTAGGCCTTAGTTTGAACTCACACAGTTCTTTTTGCTGTACAAAAATTGACGAGCTGCTCCACATTTGACACATAATTTTATCACTCACTACGTTTGACTGTCTAAAATCACGCCATGTTTTATATGCTGTGCACAAATGATGCTGCCTGCTAATATTTGATGATGTTTCTAAATTCCAATAGACTAAAAAGAAATCAGGACTGGAATGAACAAGTCACATGGAAGGGAAGATAATGGTGCCAATATTTGTTTATGATCTGTAAATCACCACTAAATGATAAAATGGTCATGTGATGTGTACTTTATTATATTTATAATTAGAGACACTGCATATTTAAACAGATATTGTTTTATATTAAAAATTATTGATGAATTATGCCTTTGACAGGGCACTAAATACTGCCACAAAGCAATACTAATTATCTCATTGTCAGTAGGAGTTGTGTCCTTTTAAATACACTTCTACTTATTGCAATACACTTAATAATTGTATATGTTTTTATTCATTAAATGCTGATAAACTTGATATGAAACACAAACATCTGTTACATTTCAATGAAGAATACTAAAGTCAACAGGTTTTGAAAAACACTGGTGGGGAAAATCTGAATAATTCAATTCAATTCAGTGTATTTCTATAGCGCCAAGTCACAACAGAAGTCGTCTCAGGGATAAAAAACATTCACATACATTAAAAAAAAAGCCAACTAGTAAAAGTTCTCTATCTAAGGAAGCCAGTAGATTGCGCTGAATCTTCATTTCGTCTCAGTCTCCCATCCTGAACAAGCACAAAGGCAACAGTGGAAAGGAAAAACTCTCTTTTAACAGGAAGAAACCTCCAGCAGAACCAGGCTCAGGACGAGTGTCCATCTGCTTTGACCCGCTGGGTTTGAGAGGACAGGAAGGACAGGAAGGAGAAACAGACAAACACAGAATGACAGGTCCAGGTGTACAGTAGTCCCTCTCTACTCCATGGTTTGTTTGTCGCGGACTCGCTCTATTGTGGTTTTTCAAAATAAGATTGGACATGACACACAATTGTCTGATTGATGGATGAGCCGCACGAGCGGCATGGAATTTTTATTTAAAATTAATTGTTTAAAATTATTTAGCACCTGCTGCACCTGTGTGCAGCCCTCACTGCAGGAGAAACTTCATCTTGCAGCTCCTCCTTCCTTCTCCTCAGTCAATCTCTGCTCTGCAGAGAGGAAGTGGGCGTGGCCGAGAGCAGGGGCAGAGAGGAGGCAGAGAGCAGAAATCATGACATTCATGCATGGCATTTTAGAGCGTTTAGAGTTTAGAAACATTGTTTAGAATATTGCAAGAGTGTGGGAAGGGGTTAAAACGCCCTTATACACACACACACACACACACACACACACACACAAACACACACACACACACATATATATATATATATATA